CCAACTTAACTAGTAAGTATCATCAACTTAACTAGTAAGTATCATCAACTTAACTAGTAAGTATCATCAACTTAACTAGTAAGTATCATCAACTTAACTAGTAAGTATCATCAACTTAACTAGTAAGTATCATCAATTTAACTAGTAAGTATCATCAACTTAACTAACGAGAAAGCACAGAATATTTTCAATTTTTAATGTGATCCACTCTCAATTCTGACTTCAGCAAAAAATGAATATGCTTGAAAATAACTACATATATGATTATGAATATATGTCAGTTTATGATAGTGAAGCAAGTAATTCAGTCTCAATTTACTAGTAAAAAATATGTCAAAGACGTATATTTCTCAGTTAGTCCACCAGACCAATGACACCTCAAAAAATAACCTGCATTTTCCTCGACTCCCAGACTTTCTCATGTTGGAAACTTTTTTTTAACAAGTCTCAACAACAATACCATTAAATCATTGACTTCACGAAATTTAAAAAAAAACCAAAACCACTGAAAAAATGACAAGGTTAATCACTTTTAACTCCTTCATTGCGAACCCGTCATTGAGGCATGGACACTCACTGAGCGCAGTAACGTTACTGTTGTTGTCCAGCGTCTGTGCGGCGTTCGATGACGTTCCTATCTGCGAGATCGGCGTACTGCCCTGTATAACTTGCGGCGCCGTCTGAATCTACGAGAACACACGGTAAAATCGTGACTACGCGGTGCCGACTGCAGATCGCGACAACGATTCGGTGTTATTGATCATTGATTATTGATTAACGCTAAACTAACGTGTTGCTGCTTTGTGGCACAGTACAGCAATTACGTGCCGGCACGGCAAGATTATGCCATGGTACGACAAAATTATGCCATGGTACGGCAAGATTATGCCACGGTACGGCAAGATTATGCCACGGTACGGCAAGATTATGCCACAGTACAACAAAATTATGCCATGGTACAACAAAATTATGCCACGGCACGACAAAATTATGCCACAGCACGACAAAGTTATGCCACGGCACGATTACCCCTCGCTACGACAAAATTACACCTCAGTACGACAAGCATCATAAAAAGGACCATACTAGCAAATCAACATAGAAACATGTCGTCACGGAGCGCAACACTACCTGTATCGGTTGAGCAACAATTCCTTGCGGAGTCTGCACCATCTGATAGACCGTGCCACCGGAGACGATCTGTCCTTGGTTGATCGTTGCCACGGACACGGTCGGCTGCTGTATCACAACGCTCGCGCTGCTCGTCTGTGGAGCCGTCGCCGCTGTTGCCGTCGACAACGGCTGCAAGCGCGCACAGAAAATTAGAATGCTGTTTCCTCGTAACCATAGCTTAATTGTCGCTCAAACGGGAAGAGTAAAAGACTGAAACTCGGAAATTGCATGCCGCAGGGATCATACAAGTGGCCCGAGCTTGACTACAGGTTGGAGAGATACCTACCGGCAGAACTGGTGTGGTTGCATTCAACTCTTCTTGCAGACAATTTGGAAGGTAGTCTGGCCTAAAGATGTTCTCGTTTTGAAAGTGTGTCTGTAAATGTAAAACATCAACCTCTTCAGTTTAACGATCTATTTATTCATCACCTTGTTCATATTAAGAATCTCAATCACCTTTTATCATCAAAACTATCAACAAGAGCCGCAGAGCGTCTGGGCTCATCTGAGGTCTGTTGCTACGATTATAAACGTAAAATTTCAGTCGTGCGTAGTACCACATTTGTTAGGCGCAGATATGCAGACACGCAGTTGCGTACACATCATTGTTACACACATATATATACATGAGATAAAATAGAATAGTGTGATGCACCTTTGCACTGCTGGCTTTGTGTTTGTGGGTTTCGTCTTCTTGGACTTGGAGTTGGGTTCTGGGTTACTGGCGTCCAGCATGGGCTGAAGTATTCGCCGCCTCGCATTTATAAACCTGTAAAAACATGCCGCATACACAGTCACAATGTCACAGTGGGAAAGAACCAAGCAACAACCGATCGCAACTGACATCAAGCGAAGAAAGTGGAGGTGGATTGGCCACACCTTACGCAAATCTAGAGACTCTATCGCCAAACAAGCACTGGCGTGGAACCCACAAGGTCAAAGGGGAAGGAGCTGTCTGAAAACCACATGGAGGTCGGTCGAAGCCGAAATCAAAGCCGAGGGACACACCTGGGACACCATCAGACAACTCGCCCAACATCGAGTCAGATGGCTGTTGTGGTATCTCATCAGCAGTAATCTGCGAACACTGATTATGATTTGGTAGCCATCTTTCAAGTGCTTTATTTCTCATATCACTCCGCCGCCGCAGCCTCATCACCTATCCACATAGTACTACCACAATAGCGAGGATTCATCAGTGGCCTATGCTCCACCCGGGAGCCATGAGCGTCTCTGACTGACTGACTGACAGTGACACAGTCACAATACTGCAGCAGCATAGGTCTAGCTATATGATACTTACCTGTCCGTCTGCCCCCTGCTTGCCTAACCTAACCACACACCCAACCCACCCAAACCACCTAGTTACCCTATGGCTAGATGCAGAAAACTTATTAGAAGTGAACGAGTCACCTGTAATACTGGCAACATTGAATCTCGGTGAAACAGGATTGCTTCACTAAGTCACCCCAAATGCTAATTTAAAATACAAAATTTAAATAGACACATATATCAAGTGTTTGTCGGTGATAACGATGAAACTTGAAATGATAAATATTTCGGTGGCATCCGCTATCACAGCCACATCACACTTATAACAGAATAGATGCAGAAAATACACAGACGTGAAGACGTTGTTTGTCATACTGCTCTCACATATACCATCTCTGTGAAATAGGATCGCTTTGAAACTAATAATTCTTCACACACCTGACGACCTCAAATGATAACGAGAGCTTTTGCGTGCGCTGATTGCAAATGAAAATGTGAAAGAGCCTGAAGGGTGTTTGCTTAGACCCATTACAGATTATTAAAGTAAGGGAAAACTGAGCCGATTTTTCCTCGTGTCTACACGTCAGCCCTTTGGCATTTAGTGCATACGGTGTTCGACTATACAGCGAGTGTTCTTTCTGACGAGAGCAAACCAACTCACCAGTTATTCACTTGCAGAATGCTCAGGTTGGTCTGACCTGCGATTTGTCGTTTCTCATCCTCGGTGGGGTAGGGATGCTGAAAGAACGGAAACGCATCACAACCCACATCCACGTCTCCCAGCAATGTGTGAAAGTTAGTATACCCTCTAACTGCCTCTACCATACCTGATTTACACCGTCCCCATCTATCCACGCAGCAGACCCGACACCTTCCCATCCCCACCGTCACCCGCCGAATTCTCGCCCCCGAGCTCGGCCCGTAAATTCTCGCGCATTCGTCACCGGAGACTTACATCGACCTGCGTCAGCTGAGCCCCAGCGATCATCTGTATCTCCTGGAAGTTGGGCGCTCCCGTCGTCTGAGTGACTATGGGAACCATAGTGATGCCCGCTGGCGTCGGCTGCTGCTGCATCGTCGTCGTCGGCGGCGACGTACCTCACCACATCTACTCTAAAACTGACAACAGCAGAATCAATCGGCTGTGCGCGGGGCAGAGACTGGGTCCTCGCTGGTCACCACGAGAGTGTTTATTACTACGTGCAGATTCCGGGAAGATTTCTTTTAGCAATAATAGTTGCTGAGTAACTATTCAGTGGCGTATCCAGCATAGGGCAGAGCCGGTGTACGCCCCCCCCCCTCCCCCCGTTTGCAGGCCCAGAAAAAAAATCATGAAAAATGTTTTAAACCCTAAATTGTAGGGTTGAGTCTATAGGGCTGAGATAGTGTCATCAGACATCAGAATTTGGCCCACGGTATGCATCAGATTGCAGGAAAATGGCTTTTAACTATTTCAAAATTTCCGGGGGGAGCATGCCCCCAGACCCCCCTAGCGCTGGCGTGCCTCCAGGTACATTTCGCCCCCCTGTTCATCCATTTCTGAATATGGCCCTGCTATTGCACTACACTGTGATATCATAAGGTGATATAAGTTATGGAGCCTGTAACAAAGATATCTGTCATATTGTCAGAGGACAATCGTGTGTCAGCTCTTTTACAATTATACTAACTATTAATATTCTTTATTTTTTATTGCATATAATTTAAATACAAGTACATGTACTGAATACAGTCATTTTAATGGAGAAAAAAATCTAGAAGAATCAAGAAAAAAAATCAAGAAAGCAATTGCTTTTATGCAAATGTTTAAAGCTATTAAAATACTATAATTTCCTGTAATATTTGCTGTATCACTAGCGAAAAGAAATTGCACATGTAAGTTGAGGATTTTAGTAACTTGTGGATCACAAGGGAAAATTATTAACTAATAGACTCGCAGCAATCACAATAATTTACCTACGGACTTCATAGATGTGTCTGATTAATGGTGAAACAGCTGCTTACTCATCAATCACATACAGTATAACAAACATTTGTAACAGTGCGTCCATTTGCTTTTACATAAATTGAATAATTTTCACTAATGAATGTAAAACAATGCAAGTAAACAGGTAAATGCAGGGAAGTTTCGGAGACCCTACTGTATTAACCCAAACAATTTTAGATCAACAATATATTAATTGTATTTTACTTTTACTTTTATAATGTGTCATCATAATTTCATTTATTGCAATTTAATTTTAATTTAATTAACCCAACAGACCAAACACAGTAATAATGAATATTTATAAACAATCGTTAACTTTTTCAATAACAATTAATAAAAGGAACGAGTGGTAAACAGAGTAAACGGTGAGTTAACGGGAATTAAGGTTGTTAAAACGGTTAACAATAGATTAAAAATTCTTTCCAGAAAAGCCAAGTATTTAAACACGGCATGTAAAAGATTATACTAGTTTCTGCCCTAATTCAATGTCATTTTGACTATGCAAGCAGTATATGGTACAGCAGTCTCATAAAGTGCACAAGTGCTAAGCTGCAAGTGTGTCAAAATAAAGCCATTAGATGTGTTCTCAACCTAGGTACTAGAGCACACATAGGGGCTAAAGAGTTCAAGGCTATAAATTGGGTACCTGTAGAGTTCAGGGTAATGCAACTGAAGGTCAATTTAGGGTTTTTTTAATATTACATAATCTCAGCCCACAGTATATATGACAGAAGGTTTCATGTTAACGTCAGAAGTCCATAGTTTCAATACAATGGAAGGTGAGATGTCTATTTTTAAACCGAGGGTGGGAAGCAGTGGGAAAAACTCTTTTACTTATACTGCAATTGAAGCTTGGAACTCTCTACCACAGCAAGTTAGGACAAATTCTGTTTATTCTAGTTTTAAGTATAGTGTTAAAAAATGTCTGATGGAAAAGGTAGAAACATTTAGAGGCAGAGGAGTATGATTTTCGCTAAAAGAATTCGGTTGAAATTAGGCATAAGAAAAGTTTGTATCGTATTATGAAAATGTACAATTGTATGACCGGTTAAAACTACAAATTTGTATATTTCAATAGTTAGTGCTGATAGTAGTGTAATTGCATGTTAGATTCAAGGCATAGCAAAACAAGGACCACAATGTAAATAAGTGTGTTAGACTGTTAGTCATGCTTTTTGTGTATATATCCTTGGTAGTTATCCAATTTTATGAATTCAGAATTTTATTGTAAAAGTATGCTATGTATTGTATATGATGGATAATTAATTGCCTAAATAAATTTTAAAATTTTAAAAATTTAAAATAAATGATAACAGATTGATAATAATACTATATTTATTACATTTATTATTACTAATCATAATACTATTATGCAAGGAACTAATAATATGGAATTGGAAATAACAAACTACTGTAGTCTGTACACTCTTTTTTAGTGTCTAGGCCTACTGTACGCTATCATGTAATATTGGCAGGAGACTGTTGTTATCTTACATTATACTGCCGGTACGTCACTTTCAAATAACGAAAATATAGCATGATATTATTCATTTCAATTAAATCAACAATGCTAAATCATGTACGTACGTCCGCTATACGTGAAAACATTAAATACACTACAAAACTGTCTTATGATTATTAATACTATACGTGATAATATAGCATGCAATATCGGTGTTCGCGAGCAAAGCCCATGTTCTGTGTATGTATGTCGTCGCGCAACAAAGTGCATGTACGAAGAATTTACCTCGACGGAAACAACATATCTTTTGCACGCTTAGCCATCAAATACAATAAATCATTTCGTGCACGTAACTAAACCATAGCAGTACGGGACGCGATAAATTATGAGATTTCCACAGCCCGAGAGCTGAGTCTCTATATTTACGGACAGATCTGACACTTGACTGGCACCTACCTTGCTGTCTATCTTCGTCAAAAATGGCGGACTGCAATTATCAGGCGACGGCTGCCCCTCCCGTCACTGCTGAGTGACGTCACGCGTGCATTTTTCTTCGCTTCTTTCTAATCCGTTTATGTAAGAAAATCAATTGAAATTCTGGCGCGACGGTGACTTTAGACCGTTCTCGAACCGTTTTCGCCAACACAGCCCAACGAGACGAAAATTTAGTCACGGCATCGCTTATAATGGCGCGGAATAGAGAAGGCCTGGGATTGCGAGATCGGAAAGGGAGGGATGAGGCTGATGACGTCACCTATGCCAAATCAATTAGGGATGGAGGGGCTTGTCATGGAACAAAACGCACGAGTCCTTTCGTATGGAGTCGGAGTTGTCTATCACGGACTGTCATACGAACCTGATCGAGCAGTGGGTTGCCCCCAGCTAACTCCACGGTCAATTAGGGTTATGGCTGCATGCGGCAGCAGTGTTTGCTGCATGGATCAGTCGAGGTTTATAAGAACAATTTTCCTGCTAACGTGCTGTATGATGTATTGCGCCTGAAACTATGCATGCGTCTACTGGGCGCTTTACACACACATAGTCTGCAATATTTTTTTAATGAAGATCGATTCTTGTTAAGCAAGCAATTCTATCTCAGTGAAAACCCCTTATTTAATAATAAAGTCGATTAAGTTGCTGAAAATTGTGAAATTTCTCATTGATTTCTGGCTGCATTAGGAATCTAATTTATGTAATTTTTACAGTGCATATCATGTGGAACGGATCTCGGTATTCTCACGAAATAACTTCAACCAGATAGAAACACTTGAGATTTATAATTTGGGTGTCTGGGCATAAATTTATCATTCAGACGTTCATTCAAATGTGACAGCAGTTGGTATTGTACATATATCATGTGGCATAATGAACTATATTTCAACTATGTGTGTATGCATAGTGTTACACAATATGTGCAACATGTATTACTATGATATACATGTTATATGTATAAATAGAATAATCCATATATGGATTATATTATAATATATATATATATATATATATATAATATACAATTTATATTGTATTGGATTGTATTATTATTGTCTATATATATATATAGGTATATATATATATTCATAATGTGAATTTAAAAAATGAAAGTATTATTAATGTCATAAATAATGTTAAATTTATATGCAAAATTCAGCAACTTATGCGAAAAGACGTGGAATGCTACAATACAATAAAAAGATTATTCAAATTCTGCTGGGAAAAATGATTTCAGACAAAACCCTGTAAGTTTTACATATATGCGTACCGTACGCACTTCACTGTTCGTAGACCAATATCGAAATGTAAATCAACAGTTTGCCCAGGAGGAAGGGAAATATTGATCGATATAACCCTTTCATCTATAGAAATTAACAATGCACCAATATAGCGCTATATAAGTTGCACATAATTAGAGATCTAGGTCAGTTAGAACTCTCTCTCTCTCTCTCTCTCTCTCTCTCTCTCTCTTTCTCTACTCGTTTTGACGATCCCCCCCCAATGTGCCGAATATCGTGACCGTACGTCGAGCGGTTAAGATTTGTGCCCAACTGTTGACGGACGCACGGACGCTCGGACGCTCGGACGCACGGACGGACGGACGATCAAGCGATTCTACAAGCTGCATCTGACTATGTCAGATGAGCTAAAAACACATGAGTAGAGTAAAACAAGTATTAGATTACCAACGGTACAAACTGCACAGATGCTATTCTCCGTACCTGCATTTTGGTTTTTAATACACCGATGTATCTGTTACAAAAGTCCTTGCATAGTTCATTGACTTTCTCTAGCTCCAGTAAGTGTATACGCAACACCTGTATTGCTTTCACCATCTGCAACGGCAAACAAATACGCTCACAGAACACGGTTGAGAATTATTTCTTAGAGATTCTTCTGGATATTCATAGAAAACTGCATCTGAAAAAATTCAGTGCAGGTAGATTCTAGGGCTGTAACGATCCACCGAAATTGAATCGGATCGCGATTCTCTTCCTTCGATCCGATCCTCGATATTTTTCCCCGCATTTTCGATTTCACTTCGATACCACTTTTTTCCTCCAATAGATGGCGGCACTACGCTATATACTGTGGAGTGTTACTCACCAATGTTACTCAGCGACTGTGCAGTGTATATATTATACTCTCTAGACTCTCTAGTCTATTCACCATTTAGTATTCATTGGCAATTTCTAATAATTTATTATTGCAAAATAATGAAAATATAAAAAATAAGATAACATTTCAATATTTTGGGAATCGAATTGAAGGAATCGAATCGAAGGAATCGAATCGAGAGGCTAATATCGAGAACCGGATCGAATCGAGAGGCTAATATCGAGAACCGGATCGAATCGAGAGGCTTGTGTATCGTTACAGCCCTACTAGATTCGTACATCGAGCTTGTCTCTGTGACATACAAGAAATGTAATAATTGCACGTAACACCACCTGTACGATGACTAATCCATGAAAAACATCAACAGAATGTTAATTACGCACGCCCGTGATAACAGGTCACATGTTCACCGAAACAGTGAAACACACGTAACACGGATAACATACTCAACACAAACCAAAAATGAAGGTCGACCAAAATCGAACTCAGAACTTAAAAAACAAATCGAACATAATCGAACATAATCGCCGAGCCCCGTACACGTGGCTGCACTCTGACGCATCGCCAAACAACACCATCCACTCCGGCTGGTTTACACTCACAGTCCTACGTCTATCCAACACACAAAGCCCTGGTGGCTTCATGACAAACACCCCCCCCCCCACCCCGCGCGCTCACGACAGTTGCCAGAATGGCGCGACATACGACGAACGTCCGGGATGCAGATGCAGTACATGCCTCGGGGAATTTGCCGGCGGGCCGACATATCGTTACGATCGGTGAACACTCGACTCATCACTAGCGTGCATACACACACACACACACGCACGCACGCGCGCGCACGCACGCACGCACACACACACACACACACACACACACACATCCAGGTGAGACAGACCGGCAAGGGTTACAAAATCTCATGCAGTGCAATAGGTGTGACGGCTGTGCAGCCTAACCCGTCTACAACGGCTAACCACTGCAGAGTAGCCTCCATCTGCCGAGGATGAACAATCGAAGGGAACAAGCTAAACGATACACGACAAGAGTTTCTACACCAGTTTAGCCATTTATACCCAAGCATTTTTTTCCCCTCGTCAACCATGAGCTAGCGGCCTCACACGGGTCTGTGTTCACTAGTTCAGAACGTAGAAAACCCCGATTTACGCTTAACGGTTAGACAAACCAACCCTTCACAGAAATTCCACTAAATCATCAGGTCATGCACACAATATGCAGAGATGACCGCAGATGCACGACAAGAATCCGTTACCACGACGACGGAAGGCGGGAAAAACAGTCTCAAAGCTCGTCTACGTAATTAAACGATCGATGTTAATTAAGCGCTGCGTCCTGCACCCTCCCCTCGCCCCCCACTAGGCATTCCTGCTAGCAACTGCGAGCGATGAGTGCGCTGCGAAGCACCAACGCGCGTGACTGTCGCGCGCACGCTGGCGCCCCCTGACGCTGGCCGCACGCTAACCGCTTAGTTCGCTTACCAGGGTGTCGCCTTCAGGGTCACCACTGAAGATTTGCTCCCTCTCCTGCTGCTTGCGTACATACAAATATCGAAACGGAAGAAACTTTTACTATACACAGGTCTGACGGAGGTCGTCGAACGAAGAAGAGGAAGCTCGGCTGAGAAAGCTCACGGGGAGTTAAGAGAGAGAAAGAGAGGGGGGCCCTGCACTAGGTGCACTTTTCACGATGTATTTGCTAAAGTGTAAAGAAGCTGAACTTAGATTTACAAAACCTACCACGTAGTAATGTTGAAATGCCGACGCTTGCTGACAATAGTTACAGTAAGTCAACTTATAGTATTGTGACATAATAGTAGGAGTTACATAAGTGTTATATAATAGTATTGCGTAACTTGCGCAATAGTAAACACAGCAACACCATCAAAGTGATACACTTACACAGCTATACGTGTAGCCGGTAATTTATGTATTCTGCAACATGTATCATATGCACTTAACCTACGTATGTTATATTCAAACAGCACAATGTGCACGTTTTACATACAATTTCTCACGCAAATGCAAACCTTCTCGTTCCACTTCACTTCGACAGTCGTACGTAACCGCTCACTCTCCCATAAATCTACCTCCCCCCATCCTCGCTTCACCACACGATCGATCGCCCACCACCCCCTCCCCCCGGTCCCGTCGCTAGCGCCACCTACCAGCGCATCCAGTTCGGGGTCGCTCTCGCTGAAGAAGGGTTTGCGGTCCTGCTCCTGCTTCTGAACGAACGCCTGGATGTCGACGGAGAACGTGTCGGCCGTCGTCGGTTCACACGTCTGCATCGCGTGTTCACACTTCTCAAAGATGAGCGCCAGCAGCGGAAACAGCGGGTGCCTGCAACGACGGTCACCGTGGAAACGAGGTGCGCGCAACGACGGTCACCGCGGAAACGAGGTGCGCGCAACGACGGTCACCGCGGAAACGAGGTGCGTGCAACGACGGTCACCGCGGAAACGAGGTGCGTGCAACGACATTCGCCACGGAAACGAGGTGCGCGCAACGACGGTCACCGCGGAAACGAGGTGCGCGCAATGACGGTCACCGTGGAAACGAGGTGTGTGCAACGGCAGTTACCGTGGCGATGATGTGCGTGCAGTAACTGTAGCAAAGAGGTGCATGCAACAGCAGGTACCGTAGCAACAAGGTGTGCAGACGAAGTGACCTATCAGGCAAAGAAGCCACGATTAACCCATATATGGGCATCTGCGGCCCCTAGCTTCTGCTAAGCAATCGGGATTAGAAATACAGCAGAAAGATGACAAATCCACATGACGAGCATTAGCACGAAAATTATAAAAGGGCAGCAAATCAGAAAACCCCATAACGTTGAAGAATTTAAATGAAGCAACACGATTAATTGAGCATGGGAATAACAAGTGTGATCAACCGCCACAACGCCATTAAAAAGCAATGAAAAGAAGTTGGAAAGCACTAAATCCACGGGTAAATGCGTGTGAAACTGTGCGATGGGTCACTATAGGGAACTACTTACTGATGATTGTAAATATGCTCGAAAAATGTAAAGGTGATGAAACCATTGATGACAGATAAGAGTCATCAATAACAGATGACTATAGTCACCAATAAGCAATGTCTTTTGAACTTTAGGGTGTTCTAAACTTTAAACTTTCTGCAATGAATTTCTCATTTGTAAAATACGTAATCAGGAATAGCTGCTAACATCAATCCGATCATAATTTTTTTTTTGCACTTTACATACCTATAAACAGCCTTTTTCTGCTCTTCTAACTGTTGACTCTGTGTTGTCACGTCGCCAGGTGACGTCAAAACCTGATTTGACACGTCAGGTGATGTCTGTGCCACCTGTACAACTACAGGTGTACCCTGGATGAATACAAAGTAGATACGGTATTACTGAAGGTATAGTATACCTGAACACGGTGTGAGCTAGGGTCCCTATATACAGAGAGTTGCGCCAACTCAGGATTTGACTCCATGTTGTTTCCAAATGGATCCACACCGCTGCCGCTTAAGTACAGCGCTGTATGGATACGCTGTAAGGATCACTAACCTAAAAACATAGCAGTACGGGACGCGATAAATATTGAGATTTCACAGCCCGAGAGCTGAGTCTCTATATTTACGGACAGATCTGACACTTGACTGGCACCTACTGCTGTCTATCTTCGTCAAAATGGCGGACTGCAATTATCAGGCGACGGCTGCCCCTCCCGTCACTGCTGAGTGACGTCACCGCGTGCATTTTTCTTCGCTTCTTTCTAATCCGTTTATGTAAGAAAATCAATGTGAAATTCTGGCGCGACGGTGACTTTAGACGCGTTCTCGAACCGTTTCGCCAACACAGCCCAACGAGACGAAAATTTAGTCACGGCATCGTTTATTAATGGCGCGGAATAGAGAAGGCCTGGATTCCGAGATCGGAAAGGAGGGATGAGGCTGATGACGTCACCTATGCCAAATCAATTAGGATGGAGGGCTTGTCATGGAACAAAACGCACGAGTCCTTTCGTATGGAGTCGGAGTTTCTATCACGGACTGTCAACGAACCTGATCGAGCAGTGGGTTGCCCCCGCTAACTCCACGGTCAATTAGGGTTATGGCTGCATGCGGCAGCAGTGTTTGCTGCATGGATCGTCGAGGTTTATAAGAACAATTTTCCTGCTAACGTGCTGTATATGATGTGCGCCTGAAATATGCATGGCGTCTACTGGGCGCTTTCCACACATATTCGCAATATTTTTTTTAATGAAGACGATTTCTGTTAAGCAAGCAATTCTATCTCAGTGAAAACCCCTTATTAATAATAAAGTCGATTAAGTGCTGAAAATTGTGAAATTTTCTCATTGATTTCTGGCTGCATTAGGAATCTAATTTATGTAATTTTACAGTGCATATCATGTGAACGGATCTCGTATTTCACGAAATAACTTCAACCAGTATAGAAACACTTGAGATTTGATAATTTGGGTGTCTGCATGGGCATAAATTTATCATTCAGACGTTCATTCAACATGTGACAGCAGTTGGTATTGTCAATATATCATGTGGCATAATGAACTATATTTCAACTATGTGTGTATGCATAGTGTTACACAATATGTGCAACATGTATTACTATGATATACATGTTATAGTATAAATAGAATAATCCATATATGGATTATATTTTAATATATATATATATATAATATAATATACAATTTATATTGTATTGGATTGTATATTATTGTCTATATATATATATATATATATATAATATTCATATGTGAATTTAAAAAATGAAAGTATTATTAATTTCATAAATATGTTAAATTTATATGCAAAATCAGCAACTTATGCGAAAAGACGTGGAATGCTACAATACAATTAAAAAGATTATTCAAATTCTGCTGGAAAAATGTTTCAGACAAAACCCTGTAAGTTTTACATATATGCGTACCGTACGCACTTCACTGTTCGTAGACCAATATCGAAATGTAAATCAACAGTTTGCCCAGGAGGAAGGAAATATTGATCGATATAACCCTTTCATCTATAGAAATTAACAATGCACCAAATAGCGCTATATAATGTTGCACATAATTAGAGATCTAGGTCAGTTAGAACTCTCTCTCTCTCTCTCTCTCTCTCTCCTCTCTCTCTCTCTCTCCTCTCTCTCTATATATAATAATATATAATATACGATATATATATATATATATATTATATATATCATA